ATATATATTTACGATCACATTTTGTAAATAAAAACGCGTCATTCTCCACTGGCACGTGATTCGTGCGTAATTGTCGTGCGTCAAAGCGTAGCCCGAGACAGGTGGAATTAAAATCCGGAAGTGAGATGCTCCTCGTCCTCAAAGATGGTGTCTTCCTCATCGTAACGCCAGATAAACAGAAAAATATGAGTGTTAAATACATACCGTCCCAGCGACCGGATGACATGTCTGGTAATTGAATTGGTGGCTGCTGCTGATGATTAATGAGTCGCCTCTGAAGGAAAGAGGATGCATATCAGCAGAGCCGACGGAGGCTCCTACACGGTAAGACACAACAACACACGGTACTTTACTTTCTAAGCGTCTGGTAATGCTGGAGTTTAACTATTTTATTTACCGTAACTGGTGTTGAAACACTTGATGGATTATGTATCTGCATTATGCGTCTTTTTTTTACGTATAAAACATTCCATATAGTCGCAAAACTTTGAAAATACCATGTAACACTATAGATGCCGATGGAACGGAAATACATAATTGAAATAATGTTTTCAGTATATAAAAGGTACAAATAAAAGATTTAACGTATACTTCTATAATTATATCTGTCTTTCTTCTTCAGGATAATCTCATTGGGACGTTGCTTGCAATTTTTGGAAATGTGCTTGTCAGCATCTCCTTATGTATTCAGGTACTGACCTCTGACCTCCCCAAGAACCTCCTTAAAATGTGCTTATTTTCGTGGCTTCTATGCCATCCAAGCGCCCTGATATTAACAATGTCAAGTTGTTATAGGATAGTGTCTAATGTATGTCCTTTTATGTAAGTGCTCTGTGTCAACATCAGGGCCACCATGTAAACATAACCCTTTAGAGCGAGGCTTATATGGCCAAAATAATATACAGTTATCCCTGTCATTGATTTTGTCCCTATTGCCCAGCCTGTCTTTACATATAATGTACAATATCTCTACTGCAACATTGTTTTTCCTCCTTTGTTTGGTGTCGGCATACTTTACATGTTTGTACACTGTGTGTTACCTGCATGCCTCTCACATGCAGAAATACAGCCATGTGACGTTAGCGGGAACCAAGGACCTGCGTGCCTTCTACCACACCAAAACCTGGTGGAGTGGTTTTGTACTGATATGTCTTGGGGAGGGAGCCAACTTTGTTTCCTATGCCTTCGCCCCCCTCGCTCTCATCTCGACTCTAAACGCCGTGTCTGTCCTGAGTGAGTATTTGTTACCCTAATATTTTGGAAGTAGATGTTAATAGATAAATGTCGACATGGTGATTATGAAAACAATCTCACTGTAAATAGCCAGAGAAGTGGAGTCTACAATGTATACATACAACTAGTTTAAAGGGAAATTTGCATTAACGTCTCGTTTTACTTTCTGTTTACAGCAAGCTCAATTTTGGGTTTTATTTTTCTGCGCGACAAATTGAAGCCAAAGGACTTTGCAAGTAAGTCGAGCGTACGTGTGGAACCGGAGACACCCCCATGGAATTTGTGCCATTGTATGCAAATTTTAATCATACTTCTGCCAAACTTCATACTGCCTGCTCAGCTGCTCACAGCACAACGTCTGAAATAACACAAGTGTGTTCATTTACAGGCCATATTAAAAAACGCAACACCATTAAAAAAGAAAAATAGTAAAAAGAAAATACTCTTTGTTGATTCCACTGTCTGATATAGTCTTTCTACTATATCGCGTTATACCAAATGTCCTAACACAATTCCTAATTCACTGGAACTGGCTGCATGTAATTTGTGTACGATATGTTATTTCAGAGCGCTATGGGCTGTCCTTCCTGGGCTCTATTCTAACCATAGGTGGAACATTCCTCTTTGTCGTATTTGGACCAAACTCTCATGAAAAACTCCAAGCAGAGAACATTGTGACTCACCTGGTAGGATGGCCTGTTCTCTTGTATCTGGTAAGATATTTTCTTTTACTTTCACAAGCACAAGGCTCAATAAATGCACAGTTGGCTCAATTAGCCTCTGCCTTTTTAAATTGACAAATAAAAACAGGTGATTCAGGTGTAGCACCCAGATGTGAATGTTTAGACATTGAATAACGTCAAATTGTATATCCTGGAAAACGCTGTTTGTCCTATCAAGTTAATCTCTCCTGCGTTTGGCATTTGTGTTTCTTCACCTCGCATAATTGCAGCTTGTAATTGACACACCAGGGATTCTGTCAATGAACAAAGGCACTTGCACAAGTAGGCGTGGGATGATCCTGCATGTCCAAAATAATTGTGATTCACGGTATTATCCTGATAATCATGAAAATATTCTTAAAACTGTTCTTTTCTCTTCTCTACCATAATATCAAGCTAGTTCCATCCCTATGCACAAGTGAGTCATACTGGGTGGAATACCATTTACCAGTATGTGTCATCTTTAATTGAGGGCCGACACTAAATAGTATTTCTGTAACATTTAAAGCCATCTTACAGAGGTACGGATAGGATAGATCGTCACTCCCTGAATTGCTGGTGGATCAGTTACAAACATTGCAAACACAGCCCAATTTCTCAGCCTTTATCGACCCGTGTCCTTATTCATCACATAAATATTGGTCTCAGGCTGTCATTTGGCAACGACTGCAGCGCTTCCTGTTTTTGTTTCTGTGATATTAATTTGGTGTTTATTATTGCTATCACCCTTATTGACAGCTCCTGGAGATCATCACGTTCTGCCTGCTTTTATACTTCTACAAACGGCGCAATGCTAACTACCTCGTTATTATTCTGTTGCTGGCCGCGCTACTGGGTGAGTGTCCGGCATTAAAGACCGTCAATTTCATTCAATCTACATAGTACGCGCTATTACCATACTTTGTTATACATCACCACAGATTTTGAATCTTCAATACGCACCTAAGCTCCTCTCGTTTGTTGCGTATTTAACTGGTTTGTTTTTTTTGTTCTTTGGTGTACAGGCTCGGTCACAGTCATCACAGTGAAGGCGGTGTCGGGCATGTTGGTTCTCACCATCGAGGGCACCATGCAGCTGGACTACCCGATCTTCAGTGTCATGTTTGTGTGCATGGTGGCTTCAGTGGTCTTCCAGGCTGGGTACGTGACAGGAACATGAAAGGAGAAGTATTTATTTTAAGGTCTCACGCTTGCACAGTGCACGCTACTGCTTTAAATAGTTTAAAACAATTAAATCAAATATCACTGAGTACATGACTGGATAAATGAGACTTGGATTATACTGCACTGGTTGTGCGAGTGTGTAAGACTTTTCTCTGTTTTTTGAGTCTCTGTTCACATTGGAGACATGTGAAAAACAAAAATGTTCTTCAAGAATTCAAGGTAACGCGTGATGAGTAAATGGTCGTTTAGTGGGTGAAGTATTCCTTTGAAGAATAACATTGGCTTGGTATTCTTTCAATTTTTTTATTTTAGTTTAAACTGTTGCTGTTTGCCATTTTTTGTGCGTGATGTCCTTTTTTAGATTTCTCTCCCAAGCTTGTAAGCTGTATGACTCCGCTATGATTGCCGGTGTCAACTACATCCTCTCCACCGTCTTTGCCGTGATTGCTGGTGAGTTATGTGATTCTTAGCTGCTGATTTTCAGTTTTAACAAGTAGTTTTCAAATCGGGCCTGTTCGGACCTCTGCTACGCTCCTGCTGAGTCATTAAAGGTTTCTTCTGTTCTGGTTTTCAGGCGCTGTGTTTTACGTAGAGTTTAAGAACGAAGGCGTTCTTCACATCTGCATGTTTTTGTTGGGGTGAGTGATTGTCCACTATAGGCCTTTCTGACAAAGACATTTTGGAGAAGCGCGTGTGTAAATAATAAAATCAGTTTTAAATTGTACTTAGCTACTCCTGTTTCAGGGTCCTGATATCGTGCATGACTCACTATCACACAGGCTTTGCTTAATGGGACACGTGAATAGAACGGAGCCATCGTAATTGTTATTAGTAATACCTGTGACAAATGCCATAGACAAACAATAATACACTTAGAAGACAGGGATTTGATGGCAATATCCTATGTGTGGACTTACTGTGCATTGAAATATTGACACATACGTTGTGCTTTGTACAGATCTGCATTCTGTTTCCTTGGGGTCTTTCTCATCACCAAAAACAGGAAAAGGACCAAGACCTTTGAGCCCTATGTCACTATGGATATGGTTAATGGTTTGTATAAACTTTACATAAATACTGAAAGTTGAATCTCTTGAGATTAAATGTTTTTTTTACACATCTTATGTAAAACGAAACAGTGTGGCTTCAGCAGACGAGACTCAGCATCTCTGTAACAATGACAGTTTACCCAAATTCATCTTTCAAGTTTTTGGCAACAGTTAGCTTTTGTTATAATTAGATTTTTCTTCGCCCTGCCTGGTCAACTTTTAAAATCTAAACATGAGGTCCATTTCAACTACACCCTTTTGCGTCGTCTTTTTAACATGCAGTTCCTTCCTTGAACCTGATCCTACCTGTTCTTTCCATCATCAGGTGTCCCGACTATTCATGACAAGGGCTTCTTTGTCCAGCCAGACACCAACGGGGCTTTCTCCTATGGGGCTCTGGTCAACAACGATGGAGCGGCTCCTGCGACTCTACCAGTCAAGCTGGAACAACCACGAGTCTCCGACCTAAAAGAAGATTAAAGTATTTTGTATTGGGGTTTTTTTCCCCCCTCTTTTTAACTATCAACAATATTCAAGGTCCTTGAAAGACCAAGATGGGTTCTGTACTTTTCACAATTACACAACCTCCGGCTCAAAAGGGGTCCACTGGGTGTTTTACTTTCCGTACACTCCTCTCCACCTGCTTTCGTTTCTGAAATCTTTAAACCAAAGCGTGACCTTGAGAAGCGTTTTTGTTATTTGAGAAGCTGTATTCATTCCAAAAATGAACGGAAGAAACGTGAAGCTGCTGGATGTTGTAGTGGATTCACAATGATAGGACAGCAGAGATGGTGTTGTGCCTTGGAGGGCTTCCATGACTGTTAAGCAATTGAATGCTCATTAATATTTGCATTAAGGAATCTGTTCTTCCATTGAGCATTGTGAAGATACTCCTCAAAGATCTATAATGTCGCTCCAGACTTGCCAATGAACATTGTGACTTCAAATATCTGCCTCCAACTCTCTTATATGAGCGGTTTTCACTCCACAATGTTGCCTCTTGTTCTTGGAATTGCTTTGTCTTACTACTTTTCCTGATGTGACCAAAAGTGGATGCAAATCATCTAATTTATTGTGATGTATTTATTAATTTTCAAGTTAGCTTTTAGTGTGCCTTTTAAAAAGTAGCTTTACACTGGATGAATAACTGTACGGTTGTACATAACCCAGGTAGGTGAGTGAAGCATCACTGTAGCAGTTATAAAAACTGTAATATGTCAGCACCTATTGGAATACAAACCTTTGAAAGGAAAGGTGTTAATAACACTTTGACTCAAATAGAGGGAAGTGAATCACGCATACATCTTGAAATAACTGATAAACTTGAAATGTGCACTATGGAGTATAAAATGTTGAATCTACTGCAAAAAAAACATTACTAAATTAATTTTTTGGCCAAAATAGTTAATTTGTCCCTTTTTAACCTGATGCCTTGGAAGTTTCTGATGAAATGCATCCATGGTACAATGTTTTAGGTATGCGTTTTATGATACAATTTGATAAAATACTCCATAATGAATGAATGGGAGGATGCATACATTGGATTCACTTCACAGCTATGTGGTAGTTCATTTCTACAGTGTTAATAAAGCAGAGAGCCTTTCCTCAGTATTCAGTACAGTTATGTTGTATCACCTGCGGTTTGTTGTGTGTGTGTGTGTGTGTGTATATGCTCATTACGTCACTGTATAAACCAACTGAAGCCTATCTTGTTATTAAAACTGCCAACTCATGAAATCTGAACTGATGCTGTAAGAGTCAAACTTCTTCCATTGTAAATGCCATGCAATCCTGTGTCATATACACTTAATGTCACCTATTTCTGGTGTATTTGTTTGGTCACAATTTGCAGAAAGGTGCACAGGGTTCGCAACACGTACGTTTGGCGTTGCGATTTGGTGGTCAAACTTAAATTAAACTGATGTCACTCGCCAGAGTAAGGGCCTGGCTGTTCTGTCCTAACTGCTTTGGTTGAAAAGAGCAAACGATAAATGACCTTGCAAAGTGCTCTGAGGCCTAATCCCAATGTCCCCCTTAAGGCCTTAAGGCCTTAAACCCTGAACCCTCAAGGATTTACTGACCTCACCTGGTAAGTGGTTGAGTGTGAGAGACTGAGGGCTTGAAATGGTGTAAAAAGGAATGGGACAGCACTTTGTTGCAACATAGCACGTTACCATAAAAATGACAAAAAAATATGATGTATAATTGTGGGTTGTTATTTTATATTTTTTACTCCCTGATTTGAAAGTCTTCCTGGCTCTTTCTTCACAAAATGAGGTCATTTAAAATAATCTATTTACTTGTTTTGTCAAAACAGCTTCAATTTAAAAATCAAATATTCGATGAATAAATATATAAATATCCTCTGATTTGTTGTGTTCTTTTGTTCCATCTTTAACCCTTAATGTTTCTGAGTCAATTCATTATGACAGGCTGAACACACGTGAGCCGTCCTCTTTGTTTACCTTTTTTTTTTTTTGACGTCTCTATGCGTCCACTGGTTACTCGCGTGTTTAACGTCACATTGCAATGCTTTGTGGGTAATTCCCTTAAGCTAAGTCTGCATCTAATGCTGATTTACGGAAAGGGTTCATAAAGGGCCAGAGAGTCTTTCAAACACTCGACTATTTGACAGTGGAAACCAAACCTCCCCATTGGGATTGGGCCGTAATGTCACAACAAAACTCTCTGACGTCTTGCTGCTCGGGAGCATCCTCCCCTTCCTGCAGCGTCATTGGTCGCCGCGAGCCTCCACCGGCATTTCATTGGTCGCACCTGCGGGTGCTGACGCTGGAGTAGGCTGCGTCAGACAGTGTCCAATGATCCAGTAATAACAAACAGCGACGCGTTTGACATCAGTCTCAAACAAACACCAGTGTAGCTTCTACCTGTTTGACAAAGTCACCTGTAGACCCTGTGTTTGGTACACTTGCAATGGGTCGTTTCAGCCGCTTTCACTGACACTAGTGGGGTGAGTAATACAGACACCAATGTTCGCGTTTGACAGTTGGAAAGGAAAATTAAACGGTAAATCCTTCCGTTAGCGTGCAACTACGACTCTGTGCTAACTTCCCCTCTTTATTTGAGTTTAAAACAAGCATTTGGCATCGGAAATACCGTGTTTTCACGAGGGGAACGCGTGCAGCAATTTTGCACGAGCCGTTTCCGTGAAGTTAAGTGGAGCGCACGCGATGCAAATGTTGATGTCACGACCCTGTATGGCCGTTTAAACACTGTGGACGTGATGCTGTTGATGTCATGACCTTCGCGTCACTCTACAGAGATTGAATGACACTGGATACAGTTTTGGTTTATAATCGATATGCGTGTAGTATTTCCCCTAATTTATTTGAAATAGTCAGGTTTGTGATTAAACTATTAAAGAAACCTTCATTCATGTTAAATGTCCCACTAGATGGCACTCTATCGACAGTACAATGTTTGAAGTTTCACACTAGAGTCAGACATTTTCTTCATCATAACCCTTTTCTTTTCTTTTCTTTTTACAATCATTGTTGTTCCACGTGGTGCTTCCGTCTTTTAAACCTGTAAAACAATGGCGAATAATCAATTAGTTGACAGAAATCAACCACAGGCTTCCAGCCTTTTTAATGTGAATATGAACGGCTTTTCTTAGCCTTCTATGATAGTGAACGGATTCTCTTTGAATTTTTGGCTGTTGGTTTGACAAAACAAGCAATTACAATTCACCACCTTGGGTTTCTGGACAGTGAGATGGACATGTTTCACTATCTTTTGTAATCATTTCTTGCAGCCGTAATATGAATACAGTACCTCAAGGCATCATTGAAAGATGGTTCTCTAAACCATTTGGATTAGTAGAAAGTGGTAGATTTTCTCATAGTCACCAGTGATTGCCCAAATACACTGCAATCGAACCATAACCTGACAGAATTATTTGAATCAGGAATACTAACCTACAAGTAGATGTCAACATGAAACTTCACCCCCTTCATCTTCCTTCTTTTCCCTCTTTTATCTATCCCACAACCAGTGTGGTATCATCACTGACACTTAAGTGCAACCCTGTAATCTTCCCTCACCAGTGTCTCACTACCTCATTCTCTGTGCTCAACATCCAGCCAGTGTATTCACCAATTACCTACTCAATTTCCAATCTCTTAATCTCCCTTTCTCCTTAGTTCCCAGCCTCTGTGGTCCCCACCTGCCTGTCAGCTGACTTCCCGAAAGCCTCCAACATGCTGCGAGAGAGCTCCAAGGCGTGGAGCAACGGCTCAGAGGCCTACAGCAGCGATCCTGAGGAGGACGAGGAGGAGGAAGAGGACATGGTGTTCGGGGAGACCGATCAGGATGGCGTGGCGGAGGAGATGATGGATCTCAGCGACCTCCCCACGGCGCTCTTTGCATGCAGTGTCCACGAAGCGGTGTTCGAAGAGGACGCACACAGGGTGAGATGGAGCAAACTCACTTTCTGGGTCAAAATTTGGTGGCGTGTGTGTGTGTGTGTGTATGTGTATGTGTGCGGGTTGGTGCGTCAGTCTGTGCATGTTTGAGTCATCATGCAGAATGTGTCAGCGTGTTCGAGATTCAAAGACCAGCAACACAAGCGTGATGTCATCCACAGCTTTCGCTCCTGTCACAATCTCAAGCTGCGCTGCTGATTGCTCAACCGCAATGGCACACACACACACACAGACATACACACCTGATGCTGTTATTTTTTTGCCAATAAACATTAATGCAGGGCAGCGGATTACAATATGAATCATGAGCCATACTCAGCCTTAATCTATCTGCCTGTGCATATCATTCGATCATGCAGCGTGTTATTCACGCCCACTCATACTCGTAGACGTGGCGACAGGCCTCATACGAAAGCCCACATACAGTACAGACATGTTGCGTTTGTACCCATGCACACACTTGCTGTATATATTCTGTTCAGGCCTCTCTGGGATGTGTCGAGTCCCGCCGTCACAGCTTTATCAGACTCCTCGGAGCGGGAACACTTGGGATCACTGGATCCAGTTTTCTGGAGGAGGATACAGAGCAAATACTTTTAATTTTCTGCCCCTCTTAATCCAATTATGCTGTCCCACCATCCCTCCATCCATCCAGCTGGCATGCCTCCCTCTCTTTAAGTCTCCCAGCCTTCCATTCTCTGTCAAGTCTATCCATCCATCTCACCTCTAGAAGCTGTCTTTTCCACGACATTTCTCTCACCTCTTTCTGATCACTTGTTACCTTTCTTCTTTTAATATCGCCCTCCTGTCTCTCTCCTGAGCGTTCTTTATTTACCCCCTCTATGTATATAAATGCAAAGCGAGAGAGGCTAAATCTGGCGCATACGCAAAATCCCTTTAAATGAATCACTCCTTGCTTTGTGAGTTCTGTGTTTGTGTACCCACTGCGATGGAGTCTGCCGCCTCCCCTCCCCTCCCCTTTCCGCTTTGCCTCCTCGCTTCATTACGATTCACACTCCATGCTTTTAAGTGGAAATGCCACCCACGCACCCTTCAGTCGGAGCATGTCAATAGATTGTTCTCCATATGGTTCAATTAAATGAGCCACACTAAAAATAGAACTTTTGACATTTATTTAAACTTTCAAAATGAGGACAGGAAGGGATAAGGTATGAAACTGAAAAAACAGGCCGCTCGTGATATTTTAAAAGCACAAACGGCTACTTTATGAGGTTGTTTTTGGCTTGTAGCAGTGCTGTTTGTTTCTGCACACACACACACACACACAACTTATTCTAAAATTGCAACCTACATATTTGTGTCTCCCTCCCAACAACGACATTACCTTCTGTGGCATTCTGAGAGAGAGAGAGAGAGAGAGAGACCCATATTTCATAAGAAGCTCTTAGCAGGCTGTAAAAGCCTTTCCCTTCTTCTGCATTAGTGAAAAGACAGTAATACCTAGTGGCACACTTTCTCTTTTATCTGCAGTATTTTGTTCCCCTGACCGGCTTTTATGTAGAATGTAGAGACGCCTTAAAAAGTTTTTACTGTTTCTTTTCGGAAGTTCGGCTCAGGTCTGGTCAGATCAGCCCACCTCTCCACTGAAATGATTGGGTTTATTATTCTTTTACTCATTCAAATTCTTATGATTAAATGAGAGCTGTGCAACCACATTTAATGGTCTGAATGATCTCTCACAGAGCTTTAATCATCGGTCTCTCTCTCAATTTGAAACATCAAATAGGAAGGCTGTTATTTTTAATTGACCTTGTGTCATTATTACAGAGAAATGCAACGTGTAAGTTAAGTCTGGTGGCACACGTGTTTTATGTTATGCTATAACTCTCTTAACTGGCTAAAAACACCTCAGACAAAGATGGAAATAAGTCCAGGACGTCATGTGTTGTATTTAAGTCATTACTAGAAAGTCGTCAACCGAAAAGGAAAACTTCACCTACCTAAATCAAATTGCGTCGAAGCTGTTCCGGGTCATTCCAGATTTGACTCGGATTACGCTGAGTCACTTATCCCTCCCATTAGCTTCCCTTTCTTCGGTTCTAGTTGTGGCCCGAGGGATGATGGACTACATTAAGCGTGTGAATACAATTAACAGCATTGCATAGAGCGAGCACAGCTACCAGCCGGCGCGGCTTCTAATTCTGACAAGATGCATTATCTATAAAAGTGTATAAAAGTGTGTAGTAGAAGGAGTGACGGAGTTGGAGACAGAGGTCTGCACGGGGCAAAGTAACGAGGCAAAGTGGTTTCTGCGCTTGTCGAGGGAAAGGTCAGAGAAGCCATTATCAGTCGTCCCTCATAGCACCCAGCGTACACCAGGCCTAACAGTGCAATTAGCACATGAATAATGTGGATATTGGATTTGCATATGCAAACACGTATGTCCAGAAACATGACTCCAACGGAGTTTTACCCTATGAAAGTAAAGTGACAATATTTGCCTTCTTATTTAATACAATTAAATGAAGTTGACATACTAACAGCATTGACACTGACGGTTAAACAATAGGGCCATTGGTGCCAATACCAAAACTAATACTTTGTCTGATACCTCATTTGGCAAATATTGATAGGCATTCTTTAATATACTCCCCTTGTTAGAGCATTAGCTCTATGTACTCTTTTTATTATCGCTGTTTTGGGATTTTTGATTTGTAATTTGTTACCTATTTTTTGTCTGTGTGATTTCTTTTTTGTGTGATTCGCTGCTAACAAAGCTATTCATTATAATAGCTGTCTGAGGCTAAAGTTGTAGCTGTTAATTTACTGTTGGACTAGCCGTTATGTATTTTACTCTTTTTACTTTTACTCTTGTGGACTTTGTGTCTTTACTGTGTTGTACCTCATGTGTGGATTTCATGTCGATCTTTCGCTGATGATACTTTTGTTCCTTCTTGGCACGATACTGTGAATCCAGTTTTCTTACCACCACAGTGATTAAAACGGTGGTCTATCTATTGTGTATCTTGTGTATCTGTATCTTCTATTTTACTGATTTGTAATCGCTATGATTGAGTTTCAAATCCTTGTCCTATATAACAGCAGCACCCCCCCTCGCTACTGTAGATAATACGCAGCACACTCTTTCACATTTCCACTGGGGACTAGTTCTTGGTGGGAAATAGTTTTCTCCAGTTTATCCAGACTAGCGAGAAAAAATATAATATAATATCATTTTTCAAAGGTTAAAAGCACCGCAAATATAATTCCATTCACTTCCATGGTATTGGGCTGTAGGTAGAAAACTCATGGACGTATATCATATACAAGCACATTAAAACAAAACTTATGCAGGATCCACTGGATAGAGTATGTGAAAAGTTGAACCGCTTCGTTGGACACTTCAGTCCAACATGTTTGATGGCGTGACTCATATATATCGGACCATAGCGTAAGACCCCAGAGCAAAGTGGAGCCATGAAACACATCAGGGACTAAAGATAGCGTGTGTGTTGTCATGTGCACGCACAACGGACTGTACAGTCAGCGCGCGTGCTGCTGATAATGTTTGCATGTGTCAGACTACGGTCTATTTTGGGGCGTATCGGCCCCGGGGGGGGTGAACTTGAGGCAGCGGGTGCTCGGCAGGCTGAAGGTCAGACATGATGCAGTGCTGAGTAGTGAGTGAGTGAGTGCGGCCTGGATATCATTCTGGTACACTGACCGGGGGAGGTCTCACCGACCCGGTGTGCTTGTTTTGCCTTTATTCATCAAACAGAAGAAGGCAAAAACAAAAAGCAATTTAAGTCAAGCAGACAACAATGGAAAGCAGTTTGGTTGAATTGAGCTGTTGCGGTACTCAGGGTGGGAACGTATTTTGCACATTTGACAAGATGACAGTGTTTTCTTTTGCAATGACAGTTTTCCCTTTCTCTGTGTTAAACTACAGTGCTCCTTGCATTTTGATGAGTATCTCAAGTGGAAGTCAGCTACTAGGTTTCCCATTAAAATGTGAGCCAAGCTAATACTGTGTCACAAAATATCTGTAACGCTAATTAATATGTTTGCATACAATTGTTGACACATCAAAGATCTTTGTGCCTGTGCAGAAGTGCTGTAAGATAAACAGGAAAGTGATACGTCTGTAAGGTAAATGATAAAGGCCCTGCACGCCCGTGGTGAACACACACAGGGGATTTTGGATGATGAGGTCGCTTCTCAGGGCTGTATGGGGTTTGTACAGAGTGTGCTTAATCGACATCTTGCTCATTTTCCTGTTTTTATCGGTTATGGTGGAACAAATTACACCTTAATAATCCGCCGTGCTCTCGACACAACCGGCCAGGTGCCGGCTAGAGCGAGTCAGACCTGGTTTCCACTTCATTTGCAAAACAGCCTGGCAGTCTTGCATTGACATCACAGAGCCGTCATTAATGTTATTAGTAACACCCGGCTCTCTATGCTGTGACGAGTCAAAGGGCTGTGTCTGAAACCACTCCCTTGTCCACCCATTCATTATTCCCACACACATAGTTATGTGGTGAGCTGCGTATTGAGATTTTGGACACACAACGGTAATTTCTGCATGTGTAGTACGTGGAGCTTTGCATTGTGGTAATGTTTGCATGGACACTATACTTATACAAAGTGGGTAACTTTTTAGAGTCAACAGGTAGTGATTTCAGGCCTATAGGCCCTTTTCACAGCCGCCGTTTGGATTGCATTGGTAAATGCAGATGTTATGAATAACATTAATTACAGCCCTGTTGCATTTAGCTGGGCTGGGGCTGTGCTATTGTGCATTCTGGCTCGCTGGTTGTGACACACTCAACAGAACAGGACCATAATTACCTTTATCAGTTACATCTGTGTTTACCCTGCTATGACAGGACAAAATGGCTGCTGGGAAAAGGGCCTATTTTCATAATTTCATGGAGTCCGGTTCCCTCACGATAATTCATAATTCACCAACAACCTGGGCGGAGGTCTAATCAGCCAGAGCACCTGTGTGCCTATGTTTTTAA